TACCCAAATAACATAATAAACAAGCCTTTATCCCATTCTCGAATATTTATTTCAGAAAAGATATGCTGTAATGAATTATAAATATGTTTCTCAAGACAATTGAAAGAGTCGAGACTCCAACTTAGAAAATTAGAATGATAAAATATTATTTTCTATGAAGGGAAAACAAGTGCAGCTTTTATTTTAAAATTTAGAGTATTATGTTAATTACTATCATGTAATTAAGAAATAATATATATAATAAGACAAACAAAAAGTCTATAACATTTTATTACAACACAGTAAAAGAATATGAGATATCTAGAAAGCTTTTTCAAAACGAATAAAATTCATCATTACTTCTTCCTGACAGCAATGATAGAAAAAAAAAAAAACAGTAAAAAGTATTGACCATTTAGATGATAAAATTTTCATTTTTCTTTCAAAATTATCTTAAAATATCTGTTTTTCAGAAAACATAAAAGAAACTGTAGCTCTGAAAGTAAATTTTTAACAAATGCAACTTCAATAAAGGATTTAGTCGCAGATAGTTCCACTAAAGCCAAAAGATCAATATCTTGTCGTTAAAACACACTCAAATTCTCTCAACACCATCAGCAACAAATTAGTCGGTCATTGTTGCAAACAAAGCTAGAAATTGCAACATATCAACAAACCAATCTCTGAATCTCTATGAACAAAGCTGCTACAATGCACTCAACTCTTATATATATATATATATTGACACCTAGAATTAAAGTTATTACCTGCTCTCCATATTGCTGCCATTACGTTCTGATTTCACAGCAACTGAAGCAGGCACTCTGGTGGGGGCTGAGTGCCGCTTTACTGCAGCAGGTGAGGGAGGGAAAGATAGTCTCTTTTTCACTGAGTTTGCTGAATCTTTACCAGTAGTACTCTCAATCATAATATCACCCAGTAAGCCATGGAACCTGTTCTTTGCCCTGGCTGACTCGGTTGGAGCCATGTAGCTCGGTAGTGGCACTGAATTTGTTGAACTCTCATCATCTCTAAGAGATGATCCAGCTAGGCTATGTCTCCTTGGTCTCTCTGACTGTAAGCTAATCATGCTTTTTGTATCATCTGATGGATGCCAGCAATTTCTAGGACTTGCAGATTTGATCTTGCTGGCCTCTGATATGACTTTGGAGGGGGGTGTTGCTGGTGACTGTCGGCTAGGAGGGCGTGTTGATCGCTGCGGTGTGTTTGGCATCGCTCGGTCAAGAATGCCGTCTCGACAAGAATATGCTTTATTGATCTCTCCTCCATTGAAGCTCTTCATAGAGGCACGGCCGCTGTTCAGCTCTTTGTCTGTTGTGGTGCTCCGGTTCTCCCATGGTCGCGCTGCCATCCAACGCTCAAGCCAGCTCCAGCCCCATTGTGGGTTGTTGGTATCCATGAACGTTGGGTTCACTGACCTTGAAGGGTTCTTCCACTGTATGAACAATTTTAAGAAGTCAAGGCTGGTTAGAAGAGTTTTAGAGTTACCAACAGCTAAATTCAATCACAGAACGGCTGGAAAAGCAAAATACCTGATGACTAAATGCATAAGCCAGTGCTCTTTCTCTTCTCACAAGAGCCTCTTGCTTGCTTAAAAGACTTGCTTCAATTTGTTCTTTGGACTGCATGCTGTCAACCCATTCTTCGCTCATCTGCTACAGGAAATCATAGCAAATCTTAATCATGTTTTCAATGATTTCTTTCCTTCTTCAAAATCAAGCATTCACTGTCAACTAAGATGCATTTCCATGTTTGATATTAGTCTTTTGGATACCACAAACCGGATTTAATATTTTACAAATATATAGAAATTTGTTATGTAGTAAATATTGAGCGTCAATGTTAAGAGCGCATTGGTTTTCGATATTGAGACAGCGTTTGTTGTCGATGTTGAGAAGGTGTTGGACAAAGATGAGATGTCAAATTGTAGGTGTAGAATTTGCTTGCATTGAGCACCAATGTAAAGACAACGTCAAACTTTGATACAGAGATTGTTTTGAAATGTTGATGTTGTAACGACGTCAGACATCGATATTGAGATGACATCGGGCATTGTTGTGAAATCAAAGTTGTAACCCGACAAAGAGAAATGAAAATGAGAGTATTCGATAAATGGGGTATTAAGTGCGGACGATTGATTTGATGTTATAGATAAGAAATAAGAAATTTAATTTTTATATTTTAAATACAAGAAATATATTTTTTAAAAAAATCATAAAATATTTAAGATACGCGTGTCCAATTTGTATTTAATATTTTTTTAATTGGACGTTTTTGGTGTGTCTGACACGTGTCGGAGTGTCGGACGCATGTCGTGTCGGACACTACACACATCTTTGAGGAGAAGTGTTAGTGCATTATAGATTGAAAGTCAATAAAGAGATTTTGAATAATGTTGAGGAGATGATTAAAAAAGGAGTTGAATTTGAAAATATCACAGTTTACTGCCCTGCTTGTTATAAGCAAGGTCATGACATTTCTAACGGTTATTTTACTCATGCTGAACTCGGGAAAATTCAAAAAATTACTAACAAGAAATCAAATGATGAGCAAGGGGAGCCCATGAAGTCTACTCTTGAGTTGGCTAGCTCCTCCAGTGAGGAATAGGCTACTCCTTCCACTCCAGTGCATGCCTTTCAGTCGGTGAAATTTCAAATGATATAGAGGATGTTCAAAGTCTGCTGTTGTAGCAGGATCATTGACCTTCTTGGATTTCTTTCCCAAGTGAGTCACCCTACTAGGACTTACCACTCACCTCTTTTGGATTTATTGGCTCTTATTCTTTGGGTCTATTTATTTGGGTGAGATAGAGGTGGCCATATCCACATCTCTTTTATCTGTTTGTTAAGAGCCTTCTGGTCTTCATTTAAATGGTTATCTATAACTCTTTCTATCTTTTTCTTATTATCGTATTATAAGATAGTTTTTGTTTTAAAAAACACAAATTATTTATAAATCTATAGAATAAAAAACAAACATATAACATAGGTAAATATAAAATTAAACTTTCTTAAGTGAAAAATATCTAAAACACTATACTAATGATGGATGTTAAATTATGTATTTAAATGTGCGTTATCATATATTATAATGCATCTTAAAAAATTAAGATATTGTGTGTCAATAATTTTTTAGTCTAAAAAATATATATTTCTTTAAGTAATATTAATAGACGTCAGATATCTGACAAATACTTATACTCGTCACAAAGGGAATAGGGATTTTTTTTAACTATTTAATTCAAATATGGTTATTGGCATTGGAAGTCTACTGTCATCATCCCTACTAAGGACCATAGTAAAGAAATCATCTAGAATATCAAAATCAAAGTGTGTGAACCTCAATCAAGTTCATATTATTTGATCAAATCAATAGTGTCTATCAGTTTAGTTTAGAGCAGACAAAACAGTTTAGAATAGCCAGGATTATGCAGTTGGATTGGCTAATTCACATGACCAACTAATCAGACCAAAATTTGAAAGAGAATTATATCAAGTTGTGGTCTGAATCATGACTTGCACCTCAAAAGCCCATTTAAATCAACAAAGTGATCAGATACTATGAGAACTCTAGTCAAAATCTTTTTATTAGAATGCCAATGCTTATATGTAAACCATAGAAGCTCATATTCCTATTTTTCCATCTATTTCTTCTTATTATAATTTAATTGTATATATTTTTAATCCAAAATCAGTTAGTAACCTGAAAGAAAAGTGGTTGATTGGATGATTAGAATAACATCACCAATCCAATCCCACACTCCACGATCCAAAAGATGTGCTTCCCTTTATCAATTCTACTTCCTAATCAATAAACCATTCACAACCAGCAACAAATCTAATAATCAGGCAGGATTTCCATACAGTAAATTGTCTATTCTGCTTAATAATCTGCCAATGCAAGTGAAAAGCATTCCTTTTGCAACAACTCTTTGGTGATTGAGATTGGCATTTGCAGTGAAAATAATGGACCATATATAGCCTAGCTCAATTTTTTGAGAAAAAAAATTTCAATTGCTTATTGTGATGCATACATATTCCGATATTCAAGCTAACAATTATCTAGACTATGAAGTGTTCAACTTATCAAAGATATCAAAACTAATCACATTAGGTAGATATCATATGGTTTGAAGTACAGTAATTCTGTCAATGGCAGAAATTAGAATAAGAGCATAACAAAAGACAAAGCTTCTACTTGTAAGATGTACTTATAAGGTTGGTGAAGTAGTGATATCCAGCCTTTTGGAGCAATTATGAGGTAGGTTCAAGCACGATTGATGAAGGAGAGGAAAAGATATGTAGAAAAAGAGAAGTTCCATACCAGTATACTCTCAAGTTCTTTTTCACGTTTTAACAGAAGCTTCTGCTGAAGAGATTGATTCTCCTCTAACATCCTGATCCTCCTTGACCGAATCTGTGATTGGACTCGGGCCAGTGTTTGCATGCAACGTAATGTCGTAGCCGCTTGACGCTTGACAGCATTTCCACGAATGAGTGACTTTAATCTAACCAACCCTTTCAAAGCCCGCAAAGCTCTCCTTGCCTACATTATGTTTGTAAACATATAAACGCATCAATAACCACCAATATTGAGAAGATAAAATAATCTCTTCAATACAAAAATTGTACCAATCTCAGGTTTTAAGTAAAGAAAACTGCGTAAAAACACTATGGATATGTCTGGATGCTAAGAATTTGAGTGAAAGGAAATCTCAAAGGCTTTAAAAGCCTGCGATCCATAATCAATCCACAAAACTGTTTGAATTTCGTTTAATCTTCTTCAACTTCCATCAATACAAACAAGCCCTACAATTTGCTCTTGAAAATAAAATACAAGAAGAGAACATTTGCTCGACCTCTGGAATATGTTTAGGGGTATTTTTGTTAGGTCATACACTTGATCCAAAGTAAAAAAAAAAAAAAAGCATAGAGAAAAACTTTAAGGTGTTTCGTAGGATGGAAAAGTGTCTGATTATTTTTTAGTATTTTCATTTCAAGAGGAGGATTATGTGTTGATAAAGATGAGAGGTTTCCCATGAGAACCCTCAGCAAGTTGAATGCTAGATGAGCAGGGCCTCATAAAATGATTAGAAGGTAAATGAAAATGCTTATGAGGTCGATCTCCATTGATGATTTGATCTCCCTAATTTTTGATGTGGCAGACCGTACCTTATATTGCGATCATGATTCTTCTAGTAATGTTGATTCTCCTGCTTGTAATTTTAATATCGACTTGCAAATATCCATTGATACAGTACGGACTTGTAGATATCAGTGGATGGATCCTTCCCTAAAATCAATTCTAACTCATTATCTTAGATCTCATCATCCCAATTTAACACTCGAGGAGCTTCACTAGCTTTCCTAAGACTTTGCTATAGGAGAAACAGGACTTTCATTAATAAAAAGTGAATTCTCCAAAGCTATGAAGAGCTGATGCAGTGCATCAATCATCATCATCATCAATAATTACATATGTCAAAAAGTCTATATCTCATGTGCTATGAACATGCTTGGGCGTATTTTATTTTTTATGTATTTTTTATTTTAGAACCTGGTATTCTTGGGTATTTTAAGTCTTATTGTATTTTGGCTTGTTTTGTTCAGTTATTGAATTTGCGTCTTATGTTGTAGATCAAATAATTTGTCAATTCATAAATCAAGCATTTGTGGATTTTAGCTTAAGCCAGCCTAACCATTTAACTCATTTTTTCAACCAAAATTGCTCTATTTTGACCACTGTGATCTCCCATTGACAGCCACAACCAAAGTTGATCCCCACAACACTATTTTGACTTGCTGCCTTATCATCCACATCACCAAGAGAGCCCCTCATCACCCTTTCTTCTCTTGTATTGATTACTAGCTTTAAAAATAACTTTTATTAACTAACATATCATGAAAACTGATCTAAGCTACTTGGAAACCATAAGTGATAGTTCAAAATCCACCAAACATGACTCCTTCATTTTCCAAGCAAAAAAATGTGCACCCCTTCCCTTTCCTCTCTTGGATTGATTCTTGTTTAAAGTCTGTACATATATCACTTAGTTTGGAATGAAAAGGATGATGATTGCTGAGTGAAATTGCTCTAGAGTGCTCTTAATACTTATTACGTTTGTGCGCTTTTCATTCTAAGAGAAAGACTTACTGAGATTGTAGTAAGTGCACAATCCTTGAAGAAGAACTTTTAACAAAGGATGACTCAATCGATGACAAATGACTACTTAAAGAGGATAATCATTGATTATTGTAAGCTACATATCTAGAATCTATGCTACTGTAGGATTCTTTTTCATTAGCATTTCATTCTCATTACTTTTTATTTTAGAAGTTTGGTAGTCCATTTTAAATATCATTCTATCTTGCAAAGCACACAAAATTTTTTTTCTTTATGATATGTCTGTACAAATATCATTCTATCTACTTTTCGTTGCATGTGAGGAAACCGCTTGCCGTTTGTTCTGAGGATAGTGTTTTATTTTTAAACTTTGTTTCGTTTCGACTTTGGTTTGTGTTGGTGTTTTGTTTAGATGTCAGCTTTCTAGTTTGAATCGAGTGTTGTTCTTCTAGTCTTAGTGTTCTCCTCTATTGACTCTTTCTTTCTAGTTTGATTGCATCACAAATAGAGCAAATGTGGCAGCCCAAATGGAGCATTCAACCCGTGGTGACTACATAGATAAGGCATTTTATTATATGACGCTAAAAAATTATTTTCGTCATCCTTTGATGTTCAAATAAAGTGCCGAACTATGACAAACCAGTCCAAAGTAGTGGTTCAAGTTGATGGATCTGCCATTAAGAAGGACCCAAATGGCATATATAATGCACAAAGAAGCAAAAAAAAAAAAAAATCTCATTAAAATACAACAAATTTAACAATATAAAGTACCAATAATACAAACTTCTTAAGCATTAAAAAATCTCAAAATAATATATATGATACCACTATTTAGCTAACAGTGTTATTATCAAACATAAAAAGAAAAAAAAAAGACTTGCATTAATGTACCAGATATCCACGAAAAACAGTTTGGATCTTGATAACAGCAACTTCTCTTGAATTTCCATTAAAATTTGCAGAGCTGCTGAAACGAACAACCTCGGCGTCTGCCTGAGTTGCAGCAACTGCAGCCACACTTGCTGTTGTAACAGAGTACACATGTTTTCTCTGTTTTTGCTCTGTTTCTGCCAATTTGATCTCTTCTGACTGCGGCAGTGGATGTACTGGCTGAGGAGATGGCGAAACCACAACTGGAGCAGTATTTTGGGGGGATTTCTCAGAGAAGTATGGATTAGAATGCTTTGATTTCCCCAAACCCAATTTATTTGATTTCTAATAAAAGGAAATTTAAATAAGTTTTGGATTTCTTAATCATCTCAGCGACAATTTATTAATCAAAACAAATTCAATTGAAACAAGAAGAGGAAATCAAACCTCGCCTTTCTTTTCCTTGGATTCGGGACTGAAGATCCTCTTAATTGCGCCGAGAAACTTCTTGCCTCTCTTTCCCATTTCTTCCTCCTCTTCCTCTTACATCATCACTCCACAACCATCTGGAATCAGAATCAATACATCCAAGAAAAAATTGTTGCATCAATCCATGAACAAACGAATCCGCGAGCCTGAAACGCCCATCATCTCAAATTAACCTCTCGAGCCAAAACCCTTCAAAACCCCAAACCGCTAACTCTCAAGATTTCGCTGCAAACAACAGAAAGCGACCTGAAAATTGCGTCTTTATCGGAAAACATAACGCCTCATTAATCACGGAGCAGATCCCACCCCACTTTCCTCGCAGAAAGAGCTCTTTTCAGTAAAGTTTCAATACCCCATCAAAGGGCAAAGAAAACACTGCTCACCTCGATAGTCGAGCGCGCAAAGGAAAATAGAAAAAAAGAAAGCAACATAAAAACATGAAAAAAAATCACATAATGTCAAAACCTCTGCGAATCCAAGCTTTAACTCTCCTTCAAAATAAAAAAATAAAAAACTAAAAAGTTAAAAAAAGTTCAGTACCGATGCCGTTCTTCAAGTTCGGATATATATATATATTTTTTTGGGAAAAAAGTTCGGATCTTTACATAAGGAGAATAACTCTCGTGCTCATTACATACCTGGAGGACAAGAGGGGAGGAGGCGGGGCAAAGAGAAGAACCCTCTATCTTCACTTCCTCCACGGGATTAACGCACAAATGAGCACAGACAAACTGAACAATATTTGGAAAACTGAATAAGATTAAATGATGTGGCGGTAAGTTAAGAGGCATTTAAATATTTTAAAGATCAAAGATGTCATCGATTGTGTCAGAGATGCGATATTAAAGAGGTTGATGAGAGTGGAAAAGGACGGGTGAACTATACTAAGAGCGTGAGCACATTGATTGTTTTCGAGGTGGTGGAGGGGACCATCCGGCGAGCAGGGGAAATTCGGCGGTGGGTTAGTTGAACGGCGTCACTTGCGTCCGGCTAAAGGCTGGCATGTGAGAGGCCAATGGCATTTTGCATGAAAAGTACTTCAAAAAGTTTTATTTTTTTTAACATTAGTCTATTCATTTAATGCAAGTTTGAATTGTAGCCACCTTTTATGACAAAAAATAATGATATTTATCTATTTTCAAGATAATATCATGATTTTATGTAAGTGCTGTTTTGATTTTCAATCAAATAAGATATTAAAGTTTTATTTGGGATATTTTTCTTATTTTTTTAGTTTGAATAAAAAATTTTGTACTAAAAAACTGGTCCAAATGAAGCAGAAGATTCTTGTTCCTTGACTCATGGCAATACGATACAAAGGTTTTATAAATTTGATTTACAGGCTCAAAGGTGGCTCACACAATGGTTTTACCATCCCTAAAAATCAAGGCTGAAGGCACTCTAATCTAAATTTTATTTTTGAAGGACATAGAGCTATTAGAGTCAAAAGCTAATCAAGTGACTACATTATTAAAAAAGGCTATATTTAAGACAAATGTACTCTCCTCATCTTGTCTAATCTTATTCCACCTAACAAGAAGAAAATCCTAGTGAGGTTAGGTGTATGATATCCCACATGAAAGGATCCAACAACTTTTGAGTATAAATTAAACTTCTTAAATAATAGAATGAAGAAGAGCTCACACTCATGAAATGGGAGCATGCCATATTAAGCGGACATCCAATCCAGATGCGCCACGTCACCTGAATACATTGGGTCCCCATGTATTTTGGTGACGTGGCACATCTGGATTGGTGTCCGAACGAATCCGGACACCGAACGTAATAATTTTTCCATATTAAGGGGGGGCACTAGTAAGGGTGGAATCACATTGGCTTCAGAGTGGACAAATGCTCGCCTTCAAAATTTCTTTTTTTCTTAAAAAGATGCTAATATTTAGGAGTTTATCCATCCTCAATTTACCATTTTTCCCAATTCTCACAAAAAAATGCCAAACTCAGCCTCCTACTTCAAATGAATTTGCTAATTAATTAAATAAAATCTCACAACTTTCACACCCTTATATTCTTTGTTGGTATTATCTTACAAATTCTTTCTATTTTAAGTACTAAATATTATTATTATTATTATTATTATTATTATGCAATTACTTTAAAAAATTTACCACGCTATAAAAAGGGGTTGGTTCAACCCTTATCATATTAGTGGCTTTGAGAAGACAATTGAAGCCAACTAGAGTGACTCAAAGAAAAATGTTACAACCAACTAAGCCAATTTGATAAAATGGTTAAGGTCGAAATATAACGAATTCTCTAAAAATATATAAAAAATGGAGGTTAAATAAGAGTAACAACAAAATAGAAATGTCATACCACAATGAATATAAAAAGCTATACATCAGCAAGCAACCACCATCTAGAGAGATGGACTATAATATCCTTGTATATCTATGAAAGCTATTAACACTCCTTAATATATACAATGCACTAGTGATGCTATTAAAGCGAGTTGAGATGCCTGTTAATGCTTTATTAAAATTGAAAATATATCAAGTATAATTCATGGAAAAAGACATGAAGAGACATGAAGTGATTTATTCTAGGAACATCTCAGATATAGTCTTTATTGATGAGGTTCTACACACAAATATAGAATAATTGTCCATTATATATTATAGTTGGTGTGAAAAAGGAAAAAATAAGTATGATCTTGATAGATTCAAGTACATTAGTTAACAAGATGCATATCAAGATGCTAAGATGGTTGGCACAGAATGTATTTAAAATAAGCTTTGACAAAATCATAGTCCATGATAATAGTAAGAATGCTTAAAGAAGTTGTAACAAACCAAAAGTTTAAAATGAATATATATATACCTAAATTTTGAGTTGAGCGTTGCCGCACAGTTCTTGTGAGCACTGTAGCACAATGCTTGAGAGAAAAATAGTGTTAGTTTCCATCACGATATTAATGTCTCTATTCTATAGTACTCTAGAATGCACATACGGTGTTGTGATGTCGAATCGAAGCACCGCAGCATTAATATAAATATCCCTATCATTTTACTCCCTCCTTCACTCTCACATGCAACTTGGCTGGGCAGGAACCGAGAGAGAAGAAGAGAAGGGGGAAAAGGAAAAGAAGGGATACAGAGAAGAGAGAGAAATCATTATGGGCTTTTCTATTAGTCAGTTTTGTTATAAAAGGTAGTCTAATCATTATAAGTGTCTAAACTCTTACTTCTATTATTGATGATTTTGATATTTACGGTTTTATCTCTCATAAAGCTGTTAAAAATATATTATATCATAATTTTATTACTTTTCACCAAATAACTCTGATATGTTATAGATTTGATCATTATGAACAAGTTGATATGTTTTTATTATATTTTCACTGGTTAAATCTATGTGTAAGAATTTCTATGTAAAATGAGTAGAAAAATATATGCTAAAAATAAGTTAAAAAGTGAAGTACTACTATTTGATTCATATGGAGTTGAAGACTAAAATCCCATCTTGAATGTTGTAACTGTGATAAGAATATTAATATAATTATTTTATAGATAATTGATTGACTAAGGTGTTTAAATGAATGATAAGATTGACTGATTGAATAATAAAGACATACTGACTGGTTGATTGATAAAATGAGAAGTGATGTATAATAGGATTGATATATTGACACAGGTGAATATTACAAATAACATATATTGATTCACAAATTTTCTTATATTGTTTACAACATATTATTCCTCTTTTGCTTTACATTAATTTTAGCGGTAAGTTTTTGTTACTTGTTGGGCTATATGCTCATTGTATGACTTTACATGATTTCATGTAAGGAGTCTGCAGGATGATACTAGTTTTGTTTTATTTTTAGCTTATTAGTTTTATGTATATTCTTTTGTAGTATGTGATTGCTATTATACATATTATTTAGTTCATGGTTATAGAATATAAATATTAATAATAATAATGTAATTATATTTTTCCTTCTACATATTTATTTATTTTCATATAATTAATTAGCTATGGATGTCAAATTGATCTAGATGAAAGTTAATGAGTGTGGGTTGTTAATTGAAAATAAATAATATTATGAATTGAGATTAGACAAAAAGAAAAGAGAGAGATAAAATTCTTCAACTAAAGATTCTGGAGCGTTATAGAAGTTTGGGTTACTTACTCTTCCCCTTCAATTCAATTCAAATGGAGGCTAAATTTCATATCCTACATGACTTAAGGGTCATATGTTTGGAGTTGGAAAGGGTTTTGAAAAGTTAATCTTCTTTGGGGAATATGAAATTGACTTTAAATTTGAATTCTGAGATTGAACATCCATCAGAAAAGATATGTTACCCTAAGAGGTAGAAATAAAATTTCAAAACAGGGTCCAGATTTAGAATTGCAAATCCCATCTTGAATGTTGTAACTGGATTTAGAAAAGAATTGCATATGGCCTCGAAGGGTCAATATGAAGTTTAATAAAATTCCTAGCTACTATAATCTAGATGAATTCTTGTTAATTTCATATTCAAAGTTTTATCAACCAATGATATATCTCTCCAAAGAAAGAAAATATTATTCATTATTAATTGATCAAAAATGACGATAATGATCTTTGGTGATTTTGATTTTCCCAAAGAAAATTATTTGAGTTTAAAAAATTGTTTTTGAAAAAGTAGGTGCGGGTTCTAAATCTCCTATCAGAGCAAGCCCTCGTAATTAATTATATCGTCAGAGTCTTGGGTATCCTACAAATATGCTCAATTAAAATAACGATAGAAATTATGTTTAAAGATTTTCTAGAAATGATATCAAAGGAAGTGAATTTTGGAATTTTAATAAGGACTGGATCAAGTTGGAGCACTTATTTCTAGAGTTAATGGAGGAGAGATAGGAGACACTTTGAGATTCTATAACAATTTAGAAACAACCCAACCTAAGCTAAGTGTTGGACTTTAAGTTTTAGATTGTGAGAATATTTGATTTAAGTTTATTGTATCATTAGAAAATTGGGATTATACTCCCATAGGTTAGGGTCATATAATTTATAATTTGCCCCTGATCCTAAATCTATTTGGGTATCGAACGATGGTTGCCCGAACCTAACTAATGTAGTGCAAAATATGGACTTATTCCAGCCTAGATTAGGGAGTCAGCTAACCGCCTAGTCGATTTAAAATCTATGAGTCCGGATTTTATTAAAGAGTGACAGGGATGTTATTATTAAAGTTTTTTTTAGAATTGAGACTGATGTGTAAAGCGGGTCCTAATTGGTCTCTTGACATATATAGGGTAAAAATGCTTGAATCTAATGTAATTAGCATGTTAGACTCAATTAAATATAATGCATGCTGATCGACTCAATTAAATACATAAAATATGTATAAAGCAATTTTAAAAAAAGGCTTAAAAATCATTTTTCTCTAGAGATTGCACAACATCCTCTAGACAAATTTGTTAGAAACCTTGAAAGATTTGCACCATCAAAAACTAAGTGGTTTGCTAGAACTCGTAGGCAACGAGGTGCCAAATAAGGAAGAGAAGGTAAAATATACTTATATTGACTCCCGACAGTCCCATGATTACTTATTAGA